ATTAATAGAAGTACACTTTCTAGACCAAGGGAGTGGATAGTTTAATGGTCAAACCATAAATAAAGCACTAGCTTGTTTTTCTGGGAACACGAGAGTAAGGACATCGTCAAGGTGCACAGCTGTATCACAGAGGGAGCAGGAGGTGAGAGGTCCAGACTCCTATCTGGTTGGAATATTAGAAGCAGTGGTGGCTATTCAATGTGGAGCAGGGCTTCTCAACCTGAACAGCCACCCGAAGCACAGGCTCACAGGCTTCTGAGAGCTGTTAGGAATGTACAATCTCAGGCCTACCCAAACCTGCGGAGTCAGAATCTGCATTTAAATAAGATTCCCCAGGTGATTCATACGCACATGGATAAGTTTAAGAAGCACTGCTCTAGACCAGTTCTCAACTCTGGCTACACACGGGAGTTGCCTGGATTAATGTGTAAGTGGGAATGACTGGGTTTTACCCCTAGAGTTTCTGAAGTCTTTGGTTTGATGGTCTGAGTATCTGGAACTCCCTGGGTGATTTTAACGTGCAGCCAGAAGGGAGAGCCGTGATGTAGACAAGAGGGCTCAAAGAAGGGGCCCTGGAATATGCTCGAAGCCCTGCTGGGCTGTTCCAGAGAAGAGGGAGATGCTTCTGGAGGGCAGAGTGAGGACCAGGAGGAGGAACAGCCCGGGGGCAGATCAGCATTAGGAACAGTGGAGAACTTTCTAACAGGTAGAGCTGCCCAAAGAGAGAACAGGTTGTAAGCTCCCTCACTGGATGGCCAAGCAGAGGTCACTGATCAAAGGAGGTGTCAGAAAGGGAAGTTCAAGTTGACCCTGAGGTCCCTTCCTTTCTCTGCTGAGTGGCTGGGAGAGGCCTGAGCTGGGCAGTGCAGTGACAGGCACTGACCAGCCCGCGGTCCCCTCTCCTATGCAGGGACAGCGGCTTCTCCAGCCAGGGTGTGGACACCTATGTGGAGATGAGGCCCGTCTCCACTTCTTCATCAAATGATTCATTCTCTGAGCAAGGTGCGGAGGAGGTATCAGGGCTGAGGGAGACGAGAGGGGCTGCTTGGGTTGAGGGGGGGAGGCCGCCCTGACACCTCTCCCCACACCAGACCTGGACAAGGAGAACGGACGGCTGCTGGAGCTGCGTGACCTGCTCCACTTTTCCAGCCAGGTGGCCCAGGGCATGGCATTCCTCGCTTCCAAGAACGTGAGTCAGAAAACAGGTCCCTATGATGTATGGTCTGTATGGTCACCCAGGGTCTGAGGGGCGGGGGGGGGGGGGCCGCAGGGGCAGCCAACACCCCGTGAGGCTGGATGGGTGAGGACAAGGGGGAGGAAAGGGAGTGTGTGAAGGGGGCCGTCCTCCTTACAACACAGGCCTGGGAGTCTAGAGCCTGAATGCTGGCTCTGCCGCTTGCTGTGTGGCTTTGAGCAACTGCTGAGCCTCTCTGAGCCTAGGCCTCTACACCTATAGAAACGGGCACAATCGTAGAACGGCATGAAGGTGGAATTGGGTTACGACGCGTGCAGTTGCTTAGGGAAGGGCCTGGAATGGCAGGGCCCCGAAGGTGGCAGCTCCTGCTCCCGTTAGGAGCCCCAGGGCTCACTGCTCCTGGGCCCGTGCAGACCACCTAGCTCTGAGGCAGCTCCTGCCACGCAGGGCCAGAGGGCCAGAGTCATGGTGGTTTCTCAACACTGACTGTATGCCCACATTAAGTTTTCCTAGACCTGGGTCTCGGTAGAAGGTAGGGACAGGATCCAGGGTACAGGACCAAAACTGATGCCCACTTCCTCGAGGAGGACCCCAAGCCTTCTGGGTGGGGTCCTGGCTGTTCCTCCTGCACCTCGGGCTGAGGTAGCGGGGGGGTCAAGGCTAACCCTACAGTGCTTCCCCTCAGTGCATCCACCGGGACGTGGCAGCCAGAAACGTGCTGCTGACCAGTGGCCATGTGGCCAAGATTGGGGACTTTGGTCTGGCTAGGGACATCATGAATGACTCCAACTACATCGTCAAGGGCAACGTGAGTGCTGGGAGGGCTGGGCCAGGCTGGTGAGGGGTGGTGACCCAGGGTGCAAGGTGACTGGGGTCTGCTGTGCCAGGCCCGCCTGCCCGTGAAGTGGATGGCCCCAGAGAGCATCTTCGACTGCGTCTACACAGTTCAGAGCGACGTCTGGTCCTACGGTATCCTCCTCTGGGAGATCTTCTCACTCGGTAAGCCGCTGGCGCAGTGCAGGCTCAGCGTGGGGCTGACTGGTGTTTGGTTACCCACGGTGTCCTACACCTCGTGGAGGATGCTAGTCCAGGACACTTGGTGGTCAGGGCAGAGCAAGGGCTGCTAAGAGTGCAGGGATGGGCGAAGTATCTTAAAACCAAGCGTTGCAGCTCCGGAGTGGGCGGGGCACACCCCCTACCTGGACAGGCACTCCCTCCAGGCGGTTTCCTCACCTGTCTGCTTGTGCAGTTGCCGTTTCCTAGAATGCTGTTTGCCCTCACTCTCTGAAACATGCGTGTCTTTGAAGATACAGCTCCCATTTCTGGAGCACTAGGCACAGGAAGTTGGGCTAAGCCCTTCAATGTACTCCTCTACCAAGCTCTTATTCCAAAGCCTGTGCTGGAATTTTGTGGGTGTGATGAGGCCTGGCTGAAGACTTTCAACGTCCTAGAAGCCTAAGCCGTTTGCAGTGCCCGGCATATAGTAAACGCTTGTTAAGCGGAGCTGCTGTTCTATTATCGCAGTCCAGCTGGGACCCCGCACACCCAGCCCTGCCAAGCTGTGTGGGGGAAGGTGACGGTGAGCACTGAATATGGTCTTTTCCATGATCCTGTCCTTTGCAGGCCTGAACCCCTACCCTGGCATCCTGGTGAACAGCAAGTTCTATAAACTGGTGAAGGACGGATACCAAATGGCCCAGCCCGCGTTTGCCCCAAAGAACATGTAAGTGAAGGACCCCAGGGAGGAAGAATACCCCAGGCTTTGTTGGAAGTGGATGGGAAGGTGTGTGGCCTGTCTTTCCTGTCCACAACGTTCCAGGGTCAGGCTTCGACTTGCCCACAGTGGACTAAGACCCCTTTTTATCAACTTCAGGGTTTCCACTGGTTTCCCAGGTAGCACGGGGGACATTCTCAAAGAGGGCTCTCAGCTGGGGCGGCCCTAAGACGGATGATAGATGTTTAACTCAGACTCTTGCTATGACCTCAAGAGGGCTCTCTCTTTCCTCCCCTGTCCTGGAGCTCTGTGGTGGCGGCCAGCCTCTCACTCAGCATAGCCAGCCAGCCGCTGCAGCCTCTTAACTGCCTCACACCAGCCAGCCCACCCCAGGCTCCTCACTGGCTCCCTGCCCTCACCACAGCCTTCCCCCACACTCGCTGGCCCATCTCACCCACTGCATCTTTCTCCAGCCACTGTCTCTCCACGGCTGCTCCCTATATGCCACCCAGGCGCTTACTGCCAAGGTGGGTGCACTCAGCCAGCTAGCTCCTCAGCCACTTTAGTCCTACCATCAACTGGCCTCTTAAACCTACCTGCAAGCAGCAGGGGTGCCCCTTCTTCATCCTAGGAGCTTGGGCAAAAGAGCATCTCTGAGCTTTTTTCCTCCTCAGTTACCACGCCCATTTTGACAAAAAGCCCCTTTTCCCGGGGTTACTGGAAAGATTAGATAATGCACACCAAGGACTTCGCACTGGCCTTGTGCAAAGCTCACTTCTGACTTGGTTTTGGGACCTCTGCGGGGCAGGACCCTGTAGTGTGTGTGCGTGTGTGCACAGACATGATGAGTCCCAGGCCCACAAGTAGCTTCTGTCCTGCCTCAGATACAGCATCATGCAGGCCTGCTGGGCCCTGGAGCCGACCCACAGACCCACCTTCCAGCAAATCTGCTCCCTCCTTCAGGAGCAGGTTCTAGTGGATAGAAGAGAGCAGGTGAGTGGTGCCAGGCTCAGGGTGGGTGGCTGGTTAAAGCTGGGCCTGACTGATCAGTTCTGACCATCCCCTGACATCCCCCCACCCAGGACTACAGCAACCTGCCAAGCAGCAGCAGTGAGCCGGAGGAGGAGAGCTCCAGCGAGCACCTGGGCTGCTGTGAGCAGGGGCGCATTGCCCAGCCCCTGCTGCAACCCAACAACTACGAGTTCTGCTGAGGAGGTGACCCCAGGGATGCACTCTCTCCCCTCTGCACCACGGGGAGAACACAGACTGTGCCCTCGGTCATTTCCCTCAACAGCCCAGCTCTGAAACTCGGGAATGTGGGAGCTACAGGAGGTTGGAGAGAACCCCACTCCCAGGGCCTGGGCCATCACTGCCAGTCAGGGGCTGGGGCTCAGCCCCGCCCCACCCCCGCCAGTTCTCAGTGCTGTGGCCTCATGTGTGCTATGCCAACTGGGAGAATACCCAGCTCACTCTTAGCCTGTTCCCACTTCCTCCCCGCCTTCCCTCCTGTTTCAAGGGAAAGGGACTGGTTTTGTGACTGAAGTCCCCAGGAGCTGCCCAAACCTTGAGGAAAAAACAAGGCTCCCTGGCCCTTGGCCGAATGGAAGAACACCTGCTGAGTGGATCAAGGAGAGCAGGCCGGTGCTCAGGGCTGCACTTGGTTCAGGCCCTTGGAGCAGGGTGACTCTCCTCTGTAAGAATCTAATTGTCCCTCTCTGCCCTCTAAGCCTTCTCTCCACGGCCCCAACCACCCTAGGTCTGGTATTGCTGCAATGAGCCAGGTGGCAGCTAAAGGTTGGGGTGCTCTGTCCGGCCCCACCTGCCCGCCCTTCTGAGCTGGAAGGCAGGGGCCCCCGTGTGGCTGGCCACACCAAGCAAGCAGCACACACTCCAGGCTGACTCATCATAACTAACAGTCACGCTGTGGGATGTCTCTGTCAGCATTAAACTAACAGCATTAACACAGCTGGCCTCTGGTCTTGGTGCCATGCGGATTCCCGGGGACCTCCGTCCATCCTTCGGCGGTGAGTGCCCCACCCCACTGAGCTGCATACAATGAGGCTGGAATGGACTCTTGTTGCACCCAAACCATATAATTTAATAAACTTTATTCTGGTCGGGGAAGAGGGAGGGGAAAAAAGCCACCTATTCCACTCCTCTCAATAAATTAAATAACACGGCCAATTCCCGTGCCCTAAGCAAACTTTGGGCACTTGAGCCAGTCCTGCTGTTTCCTTATGGCCCAGTCTGCTTACCCTTCACAGAAGGGAGTTTTTCCTACTGCCCCCAGGTTACATCATGCTCACGGGCCACATCCCCTCTGTGATGAGGGTCCAGAGAGGATGCAGGCTGCAGCAGCAGTGACCAGGAAAGGAGGAAGGGGATCCTCTTCCTCAAAGCTTGGGGCAGGGAGGCTAGGCCTGGAAGAGAGTTGTGGCTCACCCTTTCTCAGCTGCTCCCAGATGTGGGTGCAGAGGGAATGCATTCCTCCTCTGGGAGAAGGACCCCTGGAGCTAATGAAGCCCCCAAGGCCCCGAGTCAAAGGCAACAGGCCGCAGGGGCTGGAAACGGTGTCCCTGGGGGGGGGGGGAGGGAAACCTCAGCAGCCTTAGCCCACCCAGGACCTCCACCCCGACCCACAGGCACCCCTGGGAAGCCAGCAGCTACCTGCCTTCTCTCAGCCTCCCTGCCCCTTTACTGAACATATGGTGCCACTCAAAGAGTGTCCTGGTGCCTGTCCCGACCCCCAGAAGGTTGAGAACCAAGGACCCTGGGCTCCACCGTGCTCAGGAAATGGAAGCTCTTTGGTCAGTCCCAGCATCAGAGGCTGGTCCCCTGGATGGATCTGCCTCGGGCAAGGGCCTTACTATGGCTTGAGAGAGATGGTGCGGTCCCTGCACAAGAGCCCGGCTTACTCTGCAGCTGTGGCCACCTCCTCTTCCTCAGCGTCCTCCTCCGTCTCCGTCTTGATCTGAGCAACCCCGAGGCGGTACAGGGTGTCTCGGATGACCACCTCGCCAGGCTGGCAGCTCTGCACAACGTCATGGATCTGCCGGTTGACAATCTCGCGACTGGTAAGGAAGTCCATGAGGCGGTTGTAGAGGTAATAGTGGGTGGCATTGTCAAAGGCAATGGGCCGCTGGCGGACGCTGTTTGGTTTGCTGTCCGCAAAGGAGGACAGGATGGCTGCGTAGGGCGCCAACTCAGGACACAGGGCCAAGGAGTGGTGCCCAGCACTGGGGTCGCCAGGACTGGGCTGTGTGCCTGCGTGGACGATGCGCCGTGTGGCAGTCTTGGTGACCGGGTGCTGGACAGAGTGCTCAGCCTCCGACATATCCACCGTATAATGCTGGTCCAAGAGTTCTGGGCAGGACACGCTCTACAAGGGAGATGATAAGCCACTGTGAAGTGAGGGAAGATTAAGGTCCAAGCTGTGTGACGGGTGAGAGTGAAAGCTGTGGGTGAGCCAGCTCTGCTTAAGTCCTACCGTCACCACATAACACGTTTCCCGGGGCAAGTCCAAGTCCCCCTTTCCTCCTCCCCTGTGCCTCCGTTTCCTCATGTGAGAATGGGGACAGTAACAGTGGCCACCTCCCAGAGCAGATGCTGGATTACCTGAGCTAATATTTATATCTGCCTAAACAATCAGACTGGGGCTGCAGGGGAACAGGAAGGAAGTGGTTCCCACAGAGGCTCAGATGCCTCACACCAACCTTACAAACCCAGTGAGCCCCATGGACTAAGGCAAGTGAGGACAGTGATGGCCCCTTCCTATTACCAGTCCTAACGTCTCTTCTAGCCAAGGGCATGTGCCCGTGCTAAGAACCACAGCCTGATACAGGGCTCTGCCATTCATCTGCTGTGCGACACTCGACAGGTCCATTTTCACCTCGGGCCCTTACTTTCCCCTTTTAATTAGAGGAAAGGGGTTGATATGGTCAGCGTTTTCTAAGCCACTGTGCCTCTAGATCACAACACAAGGAGTGCCACGCAGCATATTCGGTCAAAGCCAAACCAGGGCTGGTCTGGGCCTTTAGTATGTCAGCATGCACAGTGTCCTCAAAGGTGGCAATTTTCTAGGCTTAACTGCAAGGTGACCCCCTTGACCCCAAGATACCTGGGGTCACCCTAGATGACATGCTGTGGCCTCACACACACGCATGGGGTGGGTCAGTAAAAATTTGTGGAGTAAATGCTGGTTCCAGAGCACTGAGACAAAACACTGGTGGAGAAAAAAGGTGGTGGATGGTTCGCAGAAGGTCTTCCCGACGAACCCGGGGGATGCGTCCCAGTTCCTCAGAAGGGAACTCACCACAGGTGGCTCCGTGGGGCTAGAGAAACAGCCCTGATTCCTCCCCCACATCTGGTTGGTCAGCTCTGGGTAGCAGAGGTCAGCACACAGGGCCACTGGTGTGGCCATGTCGACCACATAAACAGGAGGCCAATGGCGGGAGGAGACGAGCAGATCCACATGGTCGAGGGCACTCTCGCCCCGCACAAGATACTTGGAGCCACACACCACCTGGTGGGGAGATGGAATACAGCACAGGGTGAAGAAGCCAATCTGCTGACAGACCGAGTCAGGTCCACTCGCTTCCTCCCAGGAAGACGGACAATCAGGTTTTATGACTGAGGTCACGCCCTCCTGCCAAAGCCCATGACATTCTGCTTCCCTCCTACTTCTGGCCCTAAATGAAGTCGCCAGCTCACTGCAGCCTGGGACAAGAGCTGGGAGCATCCGAGCCTCAAATGAGGCTGAGAGATTCCCCCCCATCCCCACCCACCAAGGCATCACCTCCAAACCCCACCCTCCACATCACCCCACCAAACCCCGTCTAGTCCAGTGGTTCCCAAGCTGCATGGCACCAGCAGCGAGGAGGAAGTTCCTGGGTCCCACTCAAATCTACAGGATTAGCCACTGAAGGGGGAGTCTAAGCAGCTGTATTTTGAGCAGACCCTGATGGTGCTGTCCAGACGAGAACCCCTGATGAAGGCACAGCCTTCCTCAAATCCCCCAAATACCACTCCACTGCTGGGCAGCTGTGTGTCCACTGGAGAATTCTGCCTCTACCTCCCTACCTTCACACCTACCAGTCCTGGCTCTCGCCTCCAAGTAATACCACTGGCCCACCACAGCCCCGAGACCTATAGCTCTCACATCCCTGTGTTGTCAAGTGCTTCTCCTGAGATGAACCCCAGTCACATGAACACAAGGCTCTGAGCAGGCTCTGACCTGCCAGGGGTTGTTAAAGGAGTTGACGACCTGACTCTCTTTCGACAGCTAGTCGCCCTGCCCCACTCAGTGAAGTGGAGGCTCTGCGAAGCCCTCTTCCCCATTTAGCACTGTTCAGGGGGTTTTCTACCCTGGCATCTTCTTGGATTGGGACGACTGTGTCCCACAGGGCACAGCCTTCCCAGTGCTATCCTGGCGCCTACCCTGTGCATGCTCTCTACGGGCCTAAGGAGTTATCTTCTTAGAACCCAAATCAGACCATTTCCCATTCAAACCATCCAATGGGCCCCTCCCATCACTCTCAGAAGAAAACCCAAACTGTTACTCTTGCCTGCAAAGCTCTACATGAACTGGCCTCCGGGACCCCTCCCCGCTCAGGACATAGTGGTCACATCCCTTCCCAAGCTTACATGGGGCTCTCAGCCGCCTCTGGCTGCCCCCCAGACAGCAGGTCCCTCTCCGCTACTTTCTATCTCTGGTCCTTGTCTAGTTCCTGCAGAGCTGGTGCCGCAAGCCACGGTGACTTTCTCTCTCAATAGAATGACATCTTCGCTGCTCACCTCTGTACCCTCAACAGCTGACGCAGGGGCCAGCGCACAGCAGGGAGCCTAATACTCACTGGTGATGACCCAGAGGAGCAATTCCACAGCTGCCCAGTGACCTAAGTGCCAGCTCCAGGACGAGCTGGATCAACCAGATCCTCTGTGTGGGCAACTGACACGAACAATTTCACCCTGAGTTCTTCCTCGTTATCCTCCTACCTGATGAGGGCACATCTTGTAGATTTTACCCCCTGTGAGATGAGGTGGGGGCTGTCGAGCTCTGGCTCCATTCTGAACAGATTCGTAGAGGGCCAACAAGGAGAAGCAGAGCTGGTCCTAGAGCACAAGGACAAGATTAAACACAGCAGTGAATGCTAAGCGACCAGGCTTGGTACACAGCACCAAATGCTCACTCAAAGCAAATGAATAAACTGTTAAGGCCAGATTGGGCCTTGGAGCCTCACCAGCCCAATGTCCTTTAGGTACATATGGGGACGCTGAGGCCCTGTAAGGGCCAGGTCACAGACAGAGCCAGCCAGACTGATCAAGCTGCCAGACTCTGAGGCCTGGGTTCTCTCTATTTTTTTTACAGGGCAGGGAAAGTGTCAAGGAGGAGCCAACATTTGAGTCTGAACTTGAAGCATAAGATTTTCAAGAGCACATTAGTATGAAGGGAAGTACATAATGTATGGATAAAATACACACAGCCCTCCACATCCTGCTCTATGGATGCCATGGCGCTTGTTTTCTAAGAGCCTGGATAGGTGATAACTAGACACTGCAAACTTCATGAGGTTGGTATTTTGGTTATTTCCACTTTGCAAATAAGGAAAATGAGGCTCAGATGTGTAAGGCAGCTTATCCAAGGCCACACACAGTTAGCAGGAGAGCCTGGATTCCTGAACCTGAGTCTGGACCCACTACCTCAACAGAGGAACTGCCTGGATGGGAAGGCCTTGCGTGCATGTCACAATCTGGCTGCTGGCTATCTCCCAGGCCTCCCTGCCCACCAGCACTCTGTGTCCAACACAAGTGCCCAGTCACGGGTATTCATATCCCTGCCCAGAAAGATGGCCCACCAGTCTGCTCCCAAAGTCCCTACCCCCAGCGCTGCCCCGAGACTCACCCTGGAGTCTTCTGCCCCGAAGGGGATGCCACACTGCCTCAACAGGCAGTGCAGCTCCTCCTCGCTGTAGGAGCCGATCTCCTCAAGCTTGCAGGTGCCCTCCTGGAGCAGCCGTACCAAGGCACCGCCATTGCCTGCAAGAGACGTCGTGCTAATGGGAGGGCGCTACTGCCAGCCACCTGAGGTCCTGCGGAGTCCCTCACGCACGAGGATGGGAACAAGGGGGCCTGGTCCACAGTCGAGCAGGCTTTGCCCTGAGCACTGCCCTGGGGGCTGGGAGAGGTGGACTCAAGGCAGGTCTTAAGCTTCTACAGATATCCGAAGTCTCTGAGAGCCAGCTTTCTGCCTTTGAACATCTAGGGGAGATACCCTGCACAGCACCCATGCAAAGAACCCTGAAATGGGTCAGCTTTTAACCTTTTAAGTTTTTCCAGAACCATGATCTCAGATTCTTAACACAACTGTAGCAACGTGAGGAACAGTAATAGCTCTCATTTTAAAAATGCTCTTTATACACTATGTTCCTGAACCTGATCAACAGAACTACGCAGGGGCCTTACTTATAAAATCAATTTAGCAGGTCATATCCAGGACTTTAAAAATGAAATAGAATAGAAAATCAAGTATGTTGCATTTGGTAAGGGAAAGTACTGTTTTATGAAAGTTGTTTTAGTTACAGATATACACAGACGTGTTACTTATATGACCATCACGCTGAGTCACGATGTAGAACCTATTGCTTACTCTGAGTTGCAGTTAAAAAAAAAGTAGGCCATCACTCTAACTGTATTAGCTCACTTAATCTTCACAACAACCTAGGCGGTGGGTAGCAATGTCATGCCCTCTTTGTAAATGAAGCAACAGAGGCTCAGGGCAATGAAGGGATTTGGTGGAGGTCACATGGTCACTGAGGAGCATAGCTGGGAATCAAACCCAAGTTGTCAGAAACTGACGCCCTCAAAAGAGCTAGCCCAGGGCTTCTCAACGTATAAGCACAGAGCATCTAAAAAACCATGTGAAAGACCTGTTTAGAAGGCAGACTCCCTGCCTCCCCCTACATCTCTCAGTGAGAATCTTTGGGGCTGGAGCCCTATCATCAGCATTTTTCAGAGGGTTCCCACTGTTCGGTGTAGGGCATCCCAGAAGGCTGACAGTGGGCTATGTGGGTCAGTCCTATACAATGTGGCTGGCAGCTCTTCAACACTCTGCACGTGACTTTCATCTCCAGGGGATTCTGTCACAGGTTGTCATTATCTTTCCAGAAAGAGCCCTCCAGGTGGGCCTGGCCCCCTCTCAACCATACATGCTGTCTTGCCATGGACAATGTTCCAGACGCGATGGGACCCTTCCCTGACCCCAGCTACCAGGTGGCCTTACCAGGTACTGGCTGCACATCCAGGTTTTTGTCTTTCTCAGTGTTGACGACCACAGCTCCTCTCATGAGTGGTGGGAAGAAGGGGGCAATAACAGAGGCATCAAACTTGGTGATAGGGATGCTGGCGGGGAAGGCCACCTGCTCAATCACTTCTGTCTCCATCGTGGCCCAAAAGTCCTCCACATTTACCTCACTAGAGGCCAAGAAGTCAGGCCAGGTGAACTAAAAGGTCAGGACAAAAAGGTCAAACTGTAGGAGCCACAGAACGTCAGCAACACAACAGCCTACCTTCTCCATACAGGCTGAGCAGGGGGAAGGAGTCAGACAGCCACACACTGCCGGGACACCCCCGAATCTAACATCTTAGTGCCAAACTGCTCCTTGGCCTCATTCCTTTCTCCCACACCACAGCACTCCCCAAGACCTAAGTCCCTTCTGCGTCTATGCCTTTATTCATGTCCTCTTCCCTGCCTCGCCACGAGAGGGCAGCTACCACTGCCTGTCATGTGCCAGACACTGACTAATTAACTACTACTATACAAGCCTGAGGGTGCCTGAGGTGAGAGCACTGGAGCGAGGGGCAGTCTGAACGAGAACGTGAACAAAGATCTAGTTCCAAAGCCCAAGCCCTTAATCCTTATGCCTGGCTGGCAGAAATCATCAGAATAAAACTTAGTGGCACTCCACCCACTTGCAAGGCCCTGTTGATCCCTCACCTCCTCCCGAAGGTCCTCCCAGACCATGCCAGCACATGGCTATCTCCTCTACGTGCAGCATGTACTTACCTACTGTAGACATTCAGCACTGCGCTACTCAATTTTTCTTCTTGTAAGCACTCTTATGCAGCCCTCAGAGTGAGACCCTGATCCTATTACCTCATCAGAATCATTTGCGATACTCAGCAATGCTGATATCCGGGCTGCACCTCCATCTGTATGAACTAAATCCCTAAGGCTGCATTTTTAAAAGATTCCCTAGGTGAGCGGTTCTCAAAGCGTGGACCAGTGGCATGAGCAGCACCTGGGAACTTGTTAGACAGGCAGATGCTCAGCCCACTCCACACCCACTGAATCAGAAGCCCTGGGGGTGGGCCCCAGCAAGCCTCTCACACTAAAGTTTGCAAATCATTGCCCAATGTAATTCTTATGCCCACAAAGTCTGAGAACCATTGCTCCACATAGAGACGTCTCTTATCAGTCCAGAGGGTCCTCCTCTACCAGTCCCCAAGAGGCGTGCCCAACCCTACAATCTCCTCGTGGACGTTTGTTTTGTTCAATACCTTTCTGTTTTATTTCACTGACTTTAGAACACCCCCAGCCTGCTCTCCTCGTACGCACTACCCAACTCTGCACTCCACACACAAAAGGGAGAAAAAGTCCTGGTCTCTAGAAAGAAACACCCAGAGACAAAGAAGAGAAGAGACACGCATACGGAAAGTGAAGGGAATGCTACTCCATTCTGTGAGGAGTGAGCCTTGATCGGAACAAGGCGGGTACCAGGCAGGACTAGGATATGTGAGTTTTTGCAGGGAGGCGGGCTTCTGTCTATTCTAGAGAGCAAAGAGCCAAAAGCCTGTGACCAGATGTGTTTAAAAAAACAGAGCTCAGGGGCTTCCCTGGTGGCACAGTGGTTGAGAGTCCACCTGCTGATGCAGGGGACACGGGTTCGTGCCCCGGTCCGGGAAGATCCCACATGCTGCGGAGCGGCTGGGCCTGTGAGCCATGGCCGCTGAGCCTGCGCGTCCGGAGCCTGTGCTCCAAAACGGGAGAGGCCACAACAGTGAGAGGCCAGCGTACCGCAAAAAAAAAAAAAAAAAAACCAGAGCTCAGGGTCCCAGGAGGTACTGGTGAGCATGGTGGTGCTTATGAGCTCAGATTCTGGAGTGAGGGAGCCAGACCAAGGTCAAATCCCAGCTCCACCCCTTCCTGACTGGATGAGCTTGGGCAAGCCCCCTTCATCTACAAAAATATCACAGGGTTGAGAAGTCAGCCAGAAAGTAATGCACTGAGTACAGAGTAAGAACTTGGTATATGTAATAAAATGCTCAATAAATCATAGCTGCACTATTAATATTTCCATTAGACAAGCAGATTTGAATGAGTCTAGAAACAGCCTCTTTGTGAGATAACACACAAAAGGAAATTTTTTTTACAGTTCATTTTACCTACAGGGAACACTTAGAAGGCTCCAGTAGCATTATGCTTGTTTTCATATATCTCATTATACACCACCACCCTCAAAACAGAACTATTTGATCAGCGTATGCACTTATTTTTTTAATTGGGAAGAGAAAGAGGAATATGCATTAAATCCCTAATATGCTCAGCTGGCCGTGTCAAAATACACCAGAGCTTTTCTCCAGAGGTCCTGTACCACTCCCGGTGGCAAACAAGTGAGCTGCAGGTCCAGTGCTTAAAGAGTCACTGTGGTAGAGTTCAGACATGGAAAGCTACTACTAGCATGCTCATGGGGCACTCCACACCTATGCAGGCAGACCAGACCTCTCAGCATGATGATGGGAAAGAGTTCACCTATGGAATTTTTGAAAAATTCCCTGTACCAGGTTAAATAATTTTCCCTATTAGTTTTAGTTTGTGAAGAGTTTTATCATAATGGGCGCTGAATAAAAAAGAAAGCCTTTTTTAGACGTCCAGTGAAATAATCATATGGGTTTTCTCCTCTAAACTGCTAAATACTGAATTACATTAGTATATTTTCTAATGCTGAAACAATCTTGCCTTCCTGGGATAAGCTTAGTCATGATTTTGTTTTACTCACTGTCAGATTTGTTCTGCAATTATCTTATTCAGAACTCTGACATCTATATTCATGAGTACTATCAGCCCAAATTTTCAGCTTATATTAAAGGTATGGTTTTGTTTTCAGTTATATGGTCTTACACAATGACTTATATCCACTTTTGCTATTCTTCTACGACTGGAATCTTATTTCTTGGATAGTTGTTAGAATTAATGTATAAAGCCATCTGAGTTTGGTTTTATCCTTGTGTGAACATTTTTTAGTTAAGAACCTAAGTCAGATCAGTCCACTCTTCCTCAAAACCCTTCACGGGCTCTCCATCTCACTCAGTGGAAGTCCTTACAATGGCCCGGGCCACCCGTAGCCTCTTGAACCTCACATATCCAACCACTCTACACGCTGCTCACAGAGCCAGCCACATCGGCCACCTTTCTGTTCCTCAACCATGCCCAGCAAACCCTCTTCAGATCCCATTCTTGCTGCTCCCTCTGCCTGGAATGTTCCTCCCGCTGAAAACTACATGGGCTTCAGACGGCTCTACTCAAATGCCCTTGTGTCAGACAGGACTTCCCCGACCACCCTCTATAAAGCAGGAGCCCCTTCTTCCCACAATACTGCTCTCTTCCTTAACCTGCCTTACTGTTATTGTTACTTTAAATTAATGTATTACATATAATATATATTAGTAGTATTTTAATATAATATACACAATTATTAATGTTTGTCTCCTGTCTCCCCAAATCAGAAAGTGAGCTCCCTGAGCTCAAAAACTCCGTGGGTTTAACTGTCATTTCCCAAATGCCTAAAAAGTGCACCTATAGTTCATGTTTAATAAATTTGTTGTTGAATAAGTAACAAGTGCCTCCATTTCCATCTGGCCTGCCTTAGATGAAAACCTGGGAACTGGCAAGAAAAAGCTACTCACCTCACCCAGGAAAGAACTAGAGCCATCTGCTCCTGGAAACACCATGTAGGAAGGTGGCTGCCAAAGTGTGCAGACATTTCTAAAGGTCACCTGTGGTGACCAAGAGGCACTTACCTCCACACTCTTTAGTGCCAGCACATTTTCTTCACTCCTCTGGGCAACTTCCACTTTGGGGGCCACACCACAGATGCCACAGATCATGTCATTGTAGTCTCGGACAGTGAGGCACTCAAAAGCCCAATAGCCGTTGCACAGCAGCTCCTGCAGCTGGCTCAGCTCCTCTGAGGTAAGAGTCTTCTCTAGAAGGAGAGCAAGAGCTCTGAGAAGTTCACAGAAGAAGACCTGGAGGCCACAGGGGATGAGCAATGGCCAGCAAGAATAGCAATTCTGCAAGGCTGCTTCTCTCCTAAGAACACCCAAGAGTACCAACCACCAAAGGGTCAAGCACCCTAGCCATTAGGTGTTCAGGCAGCAACTCAAAGGGCAATTCCAATGAGAGTTATAGCTGCCCTGTACTCAGCACCCACTAGGACCTAGATGCTATGCTGAGAGCTTTGAATACATTCTCTCATTTAACTCTCACATCTTTATGAGCCAAGAGTATTATTATCCTCACTGAATAACTGGAAAAACTGAGGCACAGAGAGTAACTTACTCAAAACCACACTGCCACTAAGTGCTATAGTGCAGACTCAAACACAAACCTGTCTGACCCTAGAACCTTTCCTCTACTCCATCTGACCTCATAGCAGGGAAGGGGCAGGGGGCCTGGATTCTGTAGGAAGGGATGGGAAAAGCATAAACAGAAAGAAATGAGGAAAGCAAAGGGAAAAACAATTTCTAATAATAAGGAGGGTGGTGCCCACCTTCATGTCTCAGCACGAGCTTTGGAAATGGGAGCAGACCTCCAGAAGCTGTGTATTCAGAATGAGTCTGCTTACCATTGTAGTAACGCCAAGTCTACCTATGACCAAAGGATGAGCTTCTATGAAGTCTGTTTAACCTTGTGCTGAAGGTCTCTGGATACGTGGAAAGACTCATGCTTTCCAAAGTTTGGCATTCGTAAAATTCAAGAGGAGGAGTGTGTTAGGAAGTCAAGAATGTCTTCTTTTCAAAATATCAGACTCTCCTCCAAGGTAATTATGTTAACGAAAGCCCATCACTGAAAATTCCCAGGGAGCTTAGAGCTAACCTTGGGGAAACGGAGGAAGCCAACCTTTACCTGTCTGATCCTGCACTGACTTCAGAAGAGTGCTGATGGATACTCTGGGGTCCTCTCCCAGCTTGATCTGGTTTCGGATTGCAAAAAGCAAGTCCAGGCTCACGAGCAGCTTGTTTCCCACATTAAAGAGACCTGCAGGTTAAAAAATGGCAACAGAGACATTTACTGTTAACAACATCCACAGCTGCAAAAACCAGGAGACTAACGAAAAGCCCACCGATGGGGGAACATTAAAAAATAAACTGTGGTACATTCATAAAATACAGAACTAGAGGTCACCTGCTAGTTGGTAACCTACAAGCAGCTGTGAAGGAGACTGTTTAATTGGATCCCACTGTACCCAGAGCACAGAGCAGCCTTTTCAGCATGCAGGGGCTGCTCAGAAACCTTGCCTAGAAGATGGCAGAAGACAAGGACATGAGCTCATCTCTTCTTACGAAAACACCAAAATCACAGCTAACTGCTGGAACAACCATCAACAAAAAAATCCACTGGAACCTACCCAAAAAAGCTATCCTACATCCAAAGAAAGTGTAGAACCCACAACAAGATGGTAGGAGGGGAGGAATCACAACAAAATCAAATCCCACACCTGCCAAATGGGCGACCCACAAATTGGAAAATAATTATATCGTAGAGGTTCTCCCACAGGAGTGAAAGTTCTGAGCCTCACGTTAGGCTCCCCAGCCTGGGGGTCCGGGAATGAGAGGAGGAGCTCCCAGAGCATCTGGCTTTGAAGGCCAGAGGGGACTGACTGCAGGAATTCAACAGGACAGAGGGAAACAAACTCTAATCTCAGAGGGTGCACACAAGGTCTTGTGCGCACCAGGACCCAGGAGAAAAAGCGGTGACCTCCTAAGACCCTGAGCCAGACCTACCTGCTGGTATTAGAGGGTCTCCTGTGGAGGCAAGGTCGGCTGTGGCTCACTGCGGGGACAGACACTGGTGGTAGTAATTCTGGGGAGTACTAATTGGCATGAACCCTCCTGGAGGCTGCCATTTTCTCACCAAAACCCGGCCCCACCCAACAACCTGCAGGATCCAGTGCTGGGATGCCTCAGGAAAAACCACCAACAGATCAGGAACACAGCCCCGCCCATCAGCAGACTGACTGCCTAAAATCTTCCTGAGCACACAGCTGCCTGCTAAACACACCCCTTGACACAGCCCTGCCCACCAGAGGGACAAGACCCAGCTAGACCAACCAATGTGCAGGGACCAGTCCCTCCCACCAGGAAGCCTGCACAAGCCTTGCAAACTGGCCTCATCCACCAGGAGGCAACAGCAAAAGCAAGAAGAACTACAACCCTGCAGCCTGTGGAATGGAAACCACACTCACAGAAAGTTAGACAAAAACGAGACAGCAGAGGAATATGTCCCAGAAGAAGGAACAAGATATAACCCCAGAACAACTAAGTGAAGTGGAGATAGGAAATCTACCCAAAAAAGAATTCAGAGTAATGATAGTAAAAAGAATTCAGAGTAATGATCCAAGATCTCGGAAAAAGAATGGAGGCACAGGTGAAGATAAAAGAAATGTTTAACAAAGACCTAGAAGAACTAAAGAACAAACAAACAGAGATGAACAATATGATAATTGAAATAAAAAATACACTAGAAGGAATCTATAGGAGAATAAGCGAGGCAGAAGAATGGATAAGTGAGCTGGAAGACAGAATGGTGGAAATCACTGCTGTGGAACAGAATAAAGAATAAAAAGAAATGAGGACAGTCTAAGAAACCTCTGGGACAACATTAAATGCACCAACATTTGCATTATAGTGGTCCCAGAAGGAGAAGAGAGAGAGAGAGAACCTGAGAAAATATCTGAAGAGATATAGCTGAAAACTTCCCTAACATGAGAAAGGAAACAGTCACCCAAGTCCAGGAAGCGGAGAGTCCATACAGGATAAACCCAAGGAGGAACATGCCGAGACACATAGTAACCAAACTGACAAAAATTAAAGGCAAAGAGAAAATATTTAAAGCAACAAATAAAATACAAGGGAATTTTCGTAAGATTATTACCTGATTTTTCAGCAGAAACTCTGCAGGCCATGAGGGAATGGCACGATATATTTAAAGCGATGGAAGGGAAGAAACTACAACCAAGAATACTCTACCCAGCAAGGCTCTCGTTCAGATTTGACAGAGAAATCAAAAGCTTTACAGACAAGCAAAAGCTAAGAAAATTCAGCACTAACAGACCAGCTTTGCAACAAATGTTAAAGTACCTTCTCTAGGTGGAAAAGAAAAGACCACAACTAGAAACAAGAAAATTACAAATGGGAAAGCTCACTGGTAAGGGTAAACATACAGTAAGGGTGGGAAATCATCCACACACAAATATGGTATCAAAACCAGCAATCATGAGGAGTGTACAAATGCAGGATATTGGAAATGCACTTGAAATTAAAAGACCAGGAAGTTAAAACAATCTTGTTTATATACAGACTGCTATATCAAAACCACATGGTAACAGCAAACCAAAAGTATACAGCAGATGCACACACAAAAAAGAAAAAGGAATCCAAACACAACACTAAAGTTAGTCATCAAATCACAAGAAGAGAACAAAAGAGGAAGGGAAGAAAAAAGACCTACAAAAACAAATCCAAGACAATTAACAACATGGCAATAAGAACACGGATATTGACAATTACCTTAAAAGTAAATGGATTAAATGTTCTAACCAAAAGACACAGACTGGCTGAATGGATACAAAAACAAGACCCATATATATGCTGTCTACAATAGACACACTTCAGTTCTAGGGACACATAACAGACTGAAAGTGAGGGGATGGAAAAAGGTATTCAATGCAAATGGAAATCAAAAGAAAGCTGGAGCACCAATACTCATATCAGACAAAATAGACTTTAAAATAAAGACTATTACAAGAAACAAAGATGATCAAGTGATCAATCCAAAAAGAAGATATAAGAATTGTAAATATATATGCACCCAACATAGAAGCACCTCAATATATAAGGCGAATGCTAACAGCCGTAAAAGGAGAAATCGATGTAACACAATTTAATAGTGGGGACTTTAACACCCCACTTACATCAATGGACAGATCATCCAGACGGAAAATCAATAAGGAAACACAGGCCTTAAATGACACATTAGACGAGATGGACTTAATTGATATTCAGAGAGCATTCCATCCAAAAGCAGCAAAATACACATTCTTTTCAAGTACACATGGAACGTTCTCCAGGATTCATCACATGTTGGGTGACAAAGCAAGCCTCAGTGGATTTAAGAAAACTGAAATCATATCAAGCATCTTTTCCAACCACAATGCTATGAGGTTAGAAATTGATCGCAAGAAAAAAAACTAAAAAAACACAAACATATGGAGGCTAAACAATATGCTACTAAACAACCAGTGGATCACTGAAGTAATCAAAGAGGAAATCAAAAAATACCTAGAAACAAACGCAAATGAACGCACGATGATCCAAAACCTATGGGACGCAGAAAAAACAGTTCTATGAGGGAAGTTTATAGCAATACAATCTTACCTCAGGAAACAAGAAAAATCTCAAATAAACAAGCTAACCTTACATACCTAAAGCAACTACAGAAAGAATAACAATCAAAACCCAAAGTTAGTAGAAGGAAGGAAATCATAAAGATTAGAGCAGAAATGAATGAAATAGAGACAAAGAAAACAATAGAAAAGAACAATGAAACTAAAAGCTTGTTCTTTGAGAAGGTAAACAAAACTGATAAACCTTTAGCCAGATGCATCAAGAAAAAAAGGGAGAGGGCTCCAGACAATAAAATTAGAAATGAAAAAGGAGAAGTTACAACTCACACCAGAGAAACACAAAGGGTCATAAGAGACTACTACAAGCAATTATATGCCAATAAAATGGATAGCTTAGAAGAAATGGACAAATACTTAGAAAGGTACAATCTCCCAAGACTGAACCAGGAAGAAATAGAAAATATGAACAGACCACTCACAAATACTGACATTGAAACTATGATTTAAAAACTCCCAACAAACAAAAGTCCAGGACCAAATGGCTTCACAGGCAAATTCTATCAAACATTTAGAGGCGAGTTAACACCTATCCTTCTGAAACTATTCCAAAACATTGCAGAGGAAGGAACACTCCCAAACTCATTCTGAGGTCACCATCACCCTGATACCAAAACCAAAGATACCACAAAACAAAACAAAAAGCAAACAAAAAAAACCACAGGCCAATATCACTGATGAAGATGCAAAAATCCTCAACAAAATACTGGGTTGGCCTAGAAGTTCCTTCAGTTTTTAAGAAAAAAATAAAAGACGCATTTTTCATTTTCACCAAGAACTTCCTTGAACAATATATTCAGCCTTTCGTTCCACTACCTTCTGCCATTTTTCAGGCAACTTCATAATTCCATCTTTCCAAAACTTTTTACCTTTTTGAGCAAAGAACTGTTCCAGTTACCTTTTACAGTCTTCCAGGAAATTGAAACTTTTTCCATTAAGAGAATTTTGTCAAGACCTAAATCAATGGAAATCCGAAGGTGCAATGTCTGGTGAGTACAGTGGATGAATGAGAACTTCCCAGCCAAGCTGTAACATTTTTTGACTGGTCATCAAACATGTGGTCTTGCATTATCCTGATGGAAGATTATATGTTTTCTGTTGACTAATTCCGGACGCTTTTTGTCGATGCTGCTTTCAGTTGGTCTAACTGGAGTAGTACTTGTTTGAATTAATCGTTTGGTTTTCAGGAAGGAGCTCATAATAGAGGACTCCCTTTCAATCCCACCATACACACGTCACCTTCTTTGGATGAAGATCGGCTTTTGGTGGTGTTGGTGGTGGTTGCCCCATGATCTCTTCCGTTCCACATTATCATACAGTATCCACTTTTCATTGCCCGTCACAATTTGTTTTAAAAACTGGAACGTTTTTACTGTTTAAATAGAGAACTGCATGTGGAAGGTTTTTTTTGCTTGGCTTATGTGGAACCCAAACATCAAAGTGATTAACATAACCAAGCTGGTACAAATGATTTTCAATGCTTGATTTGGATATTTTGAGTATGTCGGCTATCTCCCGCATGGTGTAACGTTGACTGTTTGCAATTAATGTCTCGATTTGATCTCTATCAACTTCA